TATATAGGGTGAAACTGAATTGCATGTTGGCTAAATGGAAGCCATACATTAGATTGGTTTTAGGTTTACGTGACCCTGATTATATGCATTTCTTAGTCCACTGATCACACAGGAAGCTTTAAAAACAACTATGAAGCACAACTTAATGGAGCTCAGGGGTCTTGATGGTCATTTTAAGGAAAGACACCCCTGATAAACGTGGTAAAAAAAAAAAACTAATAGATTTCACCATACTACCCCAGTTGATCGATTATAGGGCTGTCAAACGATTAATCGCGATTAATCGCATCCAAAATAAAAGTTTGTGTTTCATAATATATGTGGGTGCACTGTGTATAATTATTTTGTGTATATATAAATACACACACAAAGAAATATTTTCATGTATATACTGTATATAGATTTATATATAATTTATATTATATATAAATAATATTTTTTTCTTGAATATATGCATGTGTGTGTGTGTGTGTGTGTGTATATATATATATATATATATATATATATATATAAAATAATTATACACAGTGCACCCACATATATTATGTAAACACAAACTTTTATTTTGGATGCGATTAATCGCGATTAATCGTTTGACAGCCCTAATTGACTACATCATGATTTGCAAAAAAAAATGTATATTACAAGTTTTCTGAAATGTTACATTTAAATATGCACATGAGGCACTAAATTAATATGCACTAATTTGCATACATTTCTAGAACAAAGATCTGAACATTAGATAAATCAATTTTGAAAAAAAAAATTATCACTTCATAAATATAAATTAGAAAAAAAACTGTCAGCAGCCAGAATTATTATTTCTTTTTCAATATATATATATAAATTATATATATGAATACAAAATAAATTATAATATGAATAAAATGTTGTATAAAAACAGGAAGATTATGTATGAACAAAGCCCTTTGTAGAAACCTTCAGAATATAGATATGCAGTGCTGGATAAAAAAACTCATTTTGAGAAAATGGCCTTTGAAAGATGTGTACTGTAATTGAAATCTACAAACGCAAATGGATAAAGTGCTATAAAAGATTTAAAACTTAAGTGTATTTTGGATGTTTTCTTTCACCTAGTCAGAAAAAAACACTATGAAAAGCCAAAAAGCACAAAATGTTTTTGCCTGTAGTGTCTCGCCTTAAAGGTTCAAATGTAAAAAGTACAATTATTATTTTAAAAAACATAAAAAGAAAATGCATTGCTCATGCCAGGATTCTCAAAATGGCCAAACACAGCGATTTCCATTATTGCATTAAATGCACTAGATAAATAACAAACTGGTGCAGACCGCAAACCAATTCTTCAATTCTGACACAACTTCTGTCATCATTTACTCACCCTCGTGTTGTTCAAAACCTAAAAGTGGATAGTTTGAAGAATGCTGATAACCAATTATGAATGTCATTGAACGGATAAAAAAAGTTTTAAACTGGCTCTAAATTTGCAGAAGAGCACACGAGTCTCACAAACTACCGTACATTTATGGTTTGGTTATGGTGTGTTTGGGGCTCGATAGATGAGGATTCGTTAAAGATCCTCGTTGAGTGTTCAATGGACAAAAACAGCAAATGGGTTTGGCACAACATGGGGATAGTGAATGTGAGCTATCATTACACACAGAGCAGGTGTGTTCAGTGTCGCTCTCTGAGATGTACCTTCAGTTCTGACCCTGCTCATACACACCTGCCTGTGATTTACCTGAAGACGGTAATTATCTGGTTCAGGTGAGTTTGATTGAACTCAGCAGGAACACAGATATCCATGAACAGGAACTGAAATAGTTTCTTCTGCGTATTATTCCACAGCTCTATACGGTAATGCGTGGAAGAAAATAAAGTAGCTTTATTTCCTTTTTTTCTGGACAAAAACTCCTTAGATTATGTTGTAAAGTGATATCAATATATATATATATATATCTTTAAGTGCCCCTATTATGCTATTTTAAATGTTCCTGATTTTGTCTCCTACAACAGGATTTACATCATCCAAGTTCAAAAAACACTTACATTTTCTCATAATATACGTAACATTTGCACATCACCTCATTTTATATCGAGTCGAAAACCAATTTGTTTGAATATTTGGTGTCGCTAAACCCCTCCTTTCTGCTCTGATTGGTCAGGGTTTACTTTGCTCTGATTGGTCAGATGGCCCAGTCTGTTGTGATTAGTCTACTTTGCTCTGATTGGTCAGACCCTCCAGTCTGTTGTGATTGGTCTACTCTGCTCTGATTGGTCAGATCGGATGTCTCAGTCTGTTGTGATTGGTCAACTCTGCTCTGATTGGTCAGACCCTCCAGTCTGTTGTGATTGGTCAACTCTGCTCTGATTGGTCAGACCCCCCAGTCTGTTGTGATTGGTCTACTCTGCTCTGATTGGTCAGACCCTCCAGTCTGTTGTGATTGGTCTACTCTGCTCTGATTGGTCAGATGTCTCAGTCTGTTGTGATTGGTCAACTCTGCTCTGATTGGTCAGACCCCCCAGTCTATAGTGATTGGTCTACTCTGCTCTGATTGGTCAGATGTCTCAGTCTGTTGTGATTGGTCTACTCTGCTCTGATTGGTCAGATGGCCCAGTCTGTTGTAATTGGTCTACTCTGCTCTGATTGGTCAGACCCCCCAGTCTGTTGTGATTGGTCTACTTTACTCTGATTGGTCAGATGTCTCAGTCTGTTGTAATTGGTCTACTCTGCTCTGATTGGTCAGAAGGCCTAGTCTGTTGTGATTGGCCTACTCTGCTCTGATTGGTCTTTGAGGGCGGGGAAAAATAGGCATTGTTCATGGGTATTATGCAATATTTTCTCTTAGTTATGTAGGCTTGTAACCAGAAGTGAGACTGGAATTGCTAATGACTCGTTTCAGCCGTTCAGAACCGATTCTTTCTTTTAGGAGACAATAACTTTATTATAATTCAAATTTTGCAGACTTTTTACATTCACAAACAGCTATATTACACACAGCATGAAAGATAATATTTAAAAAAAAAAGCATAACAGGGGCACTTTAACCATAAGAAATACCGAAATCATACTGACACTGCACAAATGACCTCTTTGTTGATCCGATGCATAAGGATTCTTTAAAGACAAAGATTTGGAATAATATAGAGACATCCTGGTGCATAGTAAAAACACATTATCAAAGTATGATGTAGATAAAAAACAGTTCTTTGTTTGTAAAAGGTTAAGTTACAGGACATGCCACAGAGTGTTTCATGGGACTGCTGCATGTTTTATTTGAGGTATTGCTACTGAAAGACTCCTGGCTGCAATGATAGAGCGGGCCTGATGCTTAAACTCACATTACAACGGCTTTTCACTGGACAAATTATAGACCTCTTCATTATACACGAGTGCGCAATGCACAAATATAACAACACCTGACATGTTTAAGAATGTATTACAAACCACAGGGAAAAAATACACAGCTAGGGTCACAGAAAATTGAATTATCCACATATTACCTGGACAGAATCTGCAACATGGTCTAATTTCTAATGCATCACGAAAATCGAGTGCACCGTTACAGTAAGTGCAGATGGAGTCGTACTCACTTCAGTCTATTCAGCAGGTTACTATGCTTCACAATGTGTGCTTAATCTTGACCTATATTACTACACTGCGTACAGTATCATTGAACAGTTATTAGAAGGACAATGGCTGTATTGTTGTGAGGTCATCACTATTGTCTCTGCTAACCTTAGAAAAGTCATTACAGTTTGCTTTACTGTATGAGCTGAGGCGTCATTTATAAACACCGATAATTCATTCCACCTTAAGTCATAATAGCAATACATCATTACAAATGACATCAGCGAGTGTGCGTTACTGTACAGTTGTTCCAACAAAACCAATGCAGTCGACTTGAAAATTCATTTAAATGCGTGTAAAATCCTGCCTTTTGTTTATCCACAGACAAAACTAAGTTATCTGGAACAACACTGAGGTTGATGACAAAACGACCAAATTTTCATGTTAGTGTGTGTAATATATATCCCTTTAATGCGTTGCTACCTGTAATGCACATTATACCTTTCATTCATTCTAGTGAGTCATTCTGCTACATTTTCTAATGGCTTTAAACGTTGTGTGATGCAGAACAAAGCCATGTCTGTATCCCTGGAAGACAACTCTTCCCAGATCTTGTCGCATGCTGACGTTCAAAGCACCTGAGCCTGTCTTCAAAAAGGTATTTCTCGACGAATATGCATATTTTTGCTTTGATTCTGGACCTTATGAGAATGGGTTACATCATTCGTTACCTTCCTGGGACAAAAACACGCCCCTCACCTATGATGGAGTATGTACCTGCTCTCTCCCTCTCACACACATGCACAGTGTGTGACAATAGGGAGGGTGTCCGCATAGGCGCGATCACGGGAAAAGATGCTGTAATCTAACAGGTAGAGCTCTGTGCTGTCGCCTAGCAACTCGCTGGATACATTAATTCAGGCGCACCTGGATTTGCACAATGCAAAACATTAATTGGCCATGCGATATGCAGGGAAATTTCTGTGATGAAACGTAGGCTACTTGACTGTGAGTGTCAGGCATGATGCGCAGGTGCTGAATTACCTACAGCAGCCCGGGGAAAGACAACGAAGTGGTGCGTTTCTTTATGCGGGAGTCTGTCAAAGAACCCCTGCGTGCGTGCGCGTGTGCGTGTGCATGTGCGCGCGTCCTCAAACCTCTCGTCTACTTTGTATTCTCATGACGAGAACATGTTTGACGGGAGCGACCGCCGTTCCTCAGTCTTCCGCACTGGCAGAGTTTTCAGTCATCACGTCATAGTGGGATCGAACGAACGGCATCACCGTTAACTTTGCGCGTGGAACGCAAAGGTCACGTTGCACCTTGATGACCGGACGGACACACGAACGCTATAAGAGCCACAGTGCATCTACATTTACCCATTTCTCTCTCATATACTCTCACACATTCACAACTTTCAGCTCGCGGTTCATTAAGCCGAGTCTCTTACCTCTGTGGAAACTCAACGCCAAACTCAGAAGCAGCAGCAGTCCATGCATGGTTCAAATCTCCTCATGGGGAGCGTCAGAATCCCTCCAACGGTGGATTATAATCCTTCCATTCACGTGTTGGCTGTGTATTGCCCCTTTTGTCCCCCCTTCGATACTTTTTAACGCATTTCTGGTCGTTTTTCTTCAGCCGTTCCTTCTTTTGCCCTCCTCTCTTGCGTCCTCAACGACGCTTCGGCTTCTTATTAGTGGCACATTCCTTGTTCATCGCTCTCTCTCTCTCTCTCTCTCTCTCTCTCTCTCTCTCTCTCTCTCTCTCTCTCTCTCTCTCTCTCTCTCTCTCTCTCGTGTCAGCAGCTGCTCCCTCCCTTTCTGTTTCTTTTCAGTGATGTCCAATTCATGAACGTTCTCTTGAACCGAATCTTTTCAGTGATTTTGATGAACCGGTTCGCTCACAAATCGAACGGGGTCTGTCCTATCGAGTTTTCGAGTCAAATAACTCGCTGACTCATGAATCAGAAACTTGCTTTTAGATTTCAGATCAAAGAATCGTTCAAAATTTAAGTCGTTTTTTTTTTCCTATTTAACTTTTAGACCGTTATGAAGAGGTTATTTGAAGAGGTTCTATGTTCTTTGTCCGATCCGGTAATTAGGTTAACCGACATCTGTTACCATCTCTGAATAATATTACTTTATATTAGCCTATATATATATATATATATATATATATATATATATATATATATATTAACAATTCAATTGTAAATTCATGTCACACTTGGTAGGCCTACCACATTTAATATAATAAACATTTAATATAAATATATAATAAACATTTAATATAATTCAAAGGTAAATTCATTTCTAGGCCTATCACATTTTCCTGGTTAAATAAAAATGCAATCTACACTAAACGAAACGAGCGGTTTGTGTGAGAAAACGAACAATATTTAAATTGTTTTTACCTCTTGCAACCGCAGGCACAAAGCGCCCGCGCGCTCAGATCACTTGGACGTGCTGTGATTACAAGAGGTAAAAACGATATAAATTCTGTTCGTTTTCTCACACAAACCGCTCGTTTCGTGTCTTAGGCCATCAATGTGTACTTACATTTACGAGTCATTAAATCCTGTTTAATTTCGACTTCTCTGTGCATGCTCTTTGAGGTGGTGACCATAGACCTGCATTATATGACTGACAGACAAGAACGGTTTGACCTAAAAATATCAAAATTGAAACAGACACCTACATCTTGGATGCCCTTGAGGTAAGCTACATACCAAAAATTAATTTCAAAGTCTACAGTATCCCTTTAAGGAGGCACTGCCAACCTTGCCTCCTCAGAGTACGCCCCTGCCCCTTTTATATAAGAACTTAATAGATAAAATAAATAACGTGACTAATAATGGCTTTTTTGTAACGTGTAAACTATTTGTATTCATCATTTTAGTGTATAATTAATAAATGATAAATTAATATTAATTCTTTTTTCAACGTGGAGGTTTATTGGAACATTTAGCTATGTTTTCCCCTTTTTTTCCATTGCCTACATGAAATTAAACCAACAAGTAGTTATAACAGGCATGTACGAGGCTAAACATGCATAGTTTTTGACCCAATACTGAATCCAAGAGTTGTGTTGTAGCCTATAGCTACAGGCTAAATAATAGCCCACTTATTAATATTCAGAATTTTTTTCATTAAAAAAAATAACAAACCCATTTACAAAAAAAGATAGTCAATCTATATCAGAGAAAGAGCATTCTTTTCCTCGATACTTAGAATGTTTTTTTTTTTAATCGGTTCATTGAAACGAACGTTCGAAAGAACCGATTCTCGGCACTGAGTCGAATTCTCCATCACTATTTCCCTTTGCCCACCCCAGTTCAGTTGAGTTGCCCTCCCTCTTCTGAACTCCAGAGCGACAAAGAGAACAGACCCCGCGGGGCGAAGAAATAAACCTTCTCTTCTCTTCAGCGTATTCTAGAGATTTTTTCACTGTGCGTTCAGTCCTGTTGGAAGGAGAAGAACTTTGTGGGGCAAAATGTTGACAGCATATGCATTAGCTCACTGGATAATATGCCAGTAATGATGGAAAATATAGGAACGCATTCATTTAAGCTTGTCTATAGATGTAATTGCAGTTTGGCAGTAAAAGTACATTTAATATCGCTGGACTGTCAAATATAAAACCCTGAGTTGATTTTCTGAACGTATACTGTACACATCTTTGTTTGCTCTGCCATCTGCTGGACAGAATCTCAAATAGTGGGCTGAATTTGGACTGTATGATAATGTTATCATTCTAAACTTCTTAGGCTGTTTACTACCCAGAATCAAACCTCAATGCAAGATACTTTTTTTTGGCCATAAAAAATAACCCAGACTGGGCTACTTAATGCATATTTAAAAACGCTTAATGGGCCCATTAAAATATTCAATTTAAATCTCTTATTTACCTCTGTCTCAACAAACACAAATAAACTTTTTTTTAAAAAATTTATTAAAATTCTTTCAAATAAAATTAATAACATGGTATTATGAAAAATGTGTTATGGGGTTAAAATAAAGCCATTACATGTGCATATTTTGAAGGGATTGAGTGAAGATTTGGGTGTTAGAATATTTTTTTTTTACATTTTTAAAATTAGCATATAATATATAAAGCATATATATATATTATGGAGGCCTACAGCACTTTGGGTAACCTTGATTGTATTGAAATGTGCTTTATAAATTAAAGAAAGAAGAAGATTAGTATATCATTATATTAACATTGCCATAATATTACAAAGCAATTTCACTTAAAACTCATTTTATATCGCTGTTACCATTATGTTAACGCGTGTGTACATGTGACAAAGACATAATTTATTATTATTATTATTTAGCAAATATTAGCATTTTTTTCACACCAACCAAAACATTTGATGCATGCAATTTTGCAATGATTGAATAGCCTAGTGATTTTTATTCAATTAATCAGTCCATATAAAATCCATTCATCTCGCTATTACATTTGTTACCTTATTCTGCATGCTTTTGGTCAACGCACATAGATAGGAAGATGCCTTAAACTCTTACACTCACATCGTTTATGTGCACAAAAGGCACAATAAAAGCAATTAATATGCCCCATCCGCGAGCTGCACTGCATCTCTGCCGGGACTCGAACCCGGAGCCTCTGGATTAGAAGTCCAGCGCGCTATTCCATTGCGCCACAGAGACCGAGCCAATAAAAGTCGATCAGACCCGGTTTAGAGATACACTGAACAGCGAATGCCTTCATCAGCATCCAGCAGCATCAGGACCACCGCCGCCATTTTGGTTCTCCACGGACGGCCAGTAGAGGGCGCTCTAGCACAACTAAACTGCGGCTCTGAGCCAACATGGCGGACTTCATGTATCAAAATACATTTACTTTTTAAGACTTTAAATTCAAATATAGATATTTTTTATCACGGTTACCATTTCCCCCACAAAAATAGTACTTAATATTAGACATAAATATATATTTGTCAAATAGTTAAATGATTTTTAAAGATGTGTCCAACTCTAAACACACCAACTCTCACACCATGTTCCCTCAAACTTGACATGAGACAGAAATGATAAAAGGAAGTTAATAAAAAATATAATCTTATTTATTTATTTTGAATATGTCTTTCTAAATCCGTTATTTTGCCTATATCCCTATTGTTTAGTCAACAAAGTTGTCAACATACAGTATATACACATTAGAGTCAGAAGCAATGTTTTCTGTATACAGTAAACCACATTTTAAAATACACGAAACAATTCACAGTGTATAGAAAATTACATTTCTTTACACACACACACACACACACACACACACATATATAGCATTACGTTTAGATTGTAAACTGTGCAAGAACACCCATGAGCCCATAAATGCAGCTATAAAAACAAGCATGGAAAAGTTCAGAAAAGGTGTGCAAAAAGTTTTCTCGTTCCATGAATATTTTTGAAGTGTATTTCTATCGATCTATATTAATGGTGCTGACACTTATGTCATCCGCTGGCCTCTGGATACACCGCTGGCTCCATATACATACCTAATCAGATCCAACCACAGTTAAGTCAGTTGATTGCTTTGCTTATCTTCATAATACATTCATCGATAACCCGTCACTGTTGTCTTAGGAGGAGCAGTTTACTGGAATTATAGCAAAATGCGATATAAACGAGGTCGAAGTCCATTCAAAAGAAGGGAAGTGGAGCCTGGATTCATCATTCATTAACAGATGAAACCGACAGCAGGAGTTTGGTCTTCATTGCATAGACAATGTCCAGTCAGTGTAAGTTTCGAGTGCACCCTGAGTCCATCCTGATTTACTGGATATTTACAGTCATCAGAAATGGTTATTTCGGCTCGTGTGGCACATTGTTCGTGGATGATGTGTCTGGTTCAAGTCTTATCCCGCTTTCTACGATTTCTTCAAGGGGAACATACAGTCTGATAGCTTCAGGTCTCTGGTGATGGAAGAGATTGAATCCAGAATATTAATATAATCATACAATTTTGGATAATACAGTCCTGCTAGCCCTAAATATAACCTTAGCCCAAGTAGTTACCTTATATTACCCAGTATTTCTTTCATAAGTACACTGAAAGTACACATACGTGCATGTACTTTGAAATAAATACAACCGATATTTAGGCCAATATGTAAATCTGAGAGGTTTTAAACAAATGAATGATAACTTTCTGCACAATTTACCCGTAGATCCTCTGTGGTTCTGATGTTGTTGTTGTTGAACATGCCCTTAAAGAGGAGCGTTGGCTCTGGGATTTTTGGGAATATGATATCTTTATGTCTGAAGTAAGAGAAACAAGTTCAGATTTCAGTTCATTCCAGGCCTTAGTAATCAATACTACTAGGCAATAGTACTGTTTCATATTTCATATTTTCAAATCAAAGAGCAGAACAATGAAAATCAAATATTCATCACCTTCTGAGCAGCACGAGAGAGACTATCAGGCAACAGGAAACTATGAGCGGGATTATGATGACAGCCAGCAACACAGGCAGGTTCGGGTCACTGTTCTCTCCTACGAGAACACAGACAAAAACATTCATTTGCAGGATGTGAAGCGATTGACCCTACACACACACTACCGTTCAAAGGTTTGGGGTCAGTATGAGCTTTCCACAGAAATATGAAACAACACACCAGTGAAGTATGTATGAAAAGTATGAAAAGTATGAAAGCACTGAGGACTAGAGAAATGATGCTGAAAATTCAGCTTTCTGGTTTTCTTAAGATACAGCCAGGTATTTTAAATTGTAATATTATTTCACTGTATTTTTAGTA